TCATTCTTTCTGAGAATTGCAAACGTGTGAATGACATGTTTCACTTCAATACAACATTTATAGTATTTAATTGCATAGAATATAATGCAATGTGTACAGCTTGAGTTACAAATTCATAACCTGGTTTACTCTGTCAGCTTGTACCGCGAGGTCATTAGGTAGCTGTATGTCTGGTTTGTACCGTGACTTTCACTGGGAAACGCAGTTTGAACAGGGTGCATCTCTTGTGGTTTATGTAGTGCTTATGAAGGCATAATATGCTGGTTATTAAGGCTTTATGACCCTGTTGTATCACCTAATTTATGTGGTATGGGCAAATGCATTTTAGAACCTATTAAAAAGAAAAACCCCATAAGAAGAGAGGAAGGAAGGGGGTGGGGCATTGGTAAAAGGGCCATTTCTGCCCCTTAGTGCAGTCATAAGATGCGGTGCAATAGAAAATAGGACAAGGTTTTTTTTTTTGTTTTTTTCTTAAGCCCAATGATAAAAATCGCAAAAGGCATGTTTAGCAAAACACATAATAGCTAGTTTTTCTGGCCTCCTCTGAGACAAAATGCGAAAACGCCTATCAGCAATATCTACCAGAGATAAAGTCAGATACACTTCTGTCGCTGTTTATCTTTGCGTGTAAACATTTCAGCTGCTCTGTTTGTTGCCACTTACAGTGAATTCAAGGTGTCCTTGATAACCAGGGGAAATTAATGTACCTTTGAATGATTGTACACAGGCATGTTGAAAGTAACACTTAAGGTGATTAAACATTGTGTTAGATGCTGAAATGCAATAAAAAGTTGTATGGAGGTTAAATTAGAAATATGTCAGAAGTGTGTGTGTGTGTGTGTGTGGGTGTGTTTTCAGTTTTTTTTTTTTCCTCTGTCATGAATTTTATAACAAGTCTTCCTGATGTGGCTCCCAGATAAGTCTGACTGCTCCTTTTGGATACTTCAGCAATTTCTATCATTAAACAACAGAGCAGAGAATATCCTGAATTATAAATTCTGGCTCTTTCTCTATTATCAGGCTCACTCACTCTTCACACACATGGATCATCTTGATTTAGTTTATTTATTTTATTTTATTTTATAATGGGGCAATGTGCACACAACGTGAAGCTCTGTTTAAAAGCCGTAACTGAAAAATAGTTGTACGGCCATTTTTTGACAGTACTTAGTAAACCGCATTATTATTGCAATTATGGCGTTTGCACATTTATAGAGGCACAAGTATTCAAGATTAAGAGGTGCTTCTAGGTTACAGTCCATCTACAGATTACAGGTTTGTGTTCTTGGGACATATTCACAATGTGTGGATGTGTCGAATACTGTATGCATGCATGCGTGTCGACAAAGTACCATCACCATGTGAAAAGGACTTCAGCTTTAATGTAACAATCACAATTACAAATATAGCTACAAAGGTGAGTACCCGTAAGCTGAATTAGCAGGATGTGTCACCTATAGAAGAGGTTTGACAGTCTACATAACGGTATGCGAGTTTTCAAAGTAACACAAGGCAACTAGCATAATTTCTAAGAGGTTGAACCTCCAGAGCCGTTATTTCCTGTCAGAAGAACTGCTAAATTTGTTAATGTTAAGGGGAACAGTCTAAATAATGACAGCATATCAAACACAAATAAACTACATTGTCAGGGAGTAAGAATGGACAGCAGTCCAAGCTCACCAACAGAGATTTAATGGGAAAATTGCTAATACGTTTGGAAAAAGTAAGAGGAGCCGTCATTTTCTGGATTTGCATGTGACAGCACAGTGTGGGGAATCCGTAATGGAAATGGTCAATCATCTCGTGGTGCAAGACGCGCAATATTTAGAGGAGCACCTGCCCCATGGGCTGCAGACACTGTCCCCTCATTCTGTTCCCATATTCCTATCTGATAATGGTACATACTGCTAAGACTGGCTTCATGAGCAGCAGGATGATGCTGAACAGCTTCCATGGCTTCGACAATCATTAGATCTGACTGAACAGTTTTGGGCCACAAAATAGATGTTCACTGTCTTCACCGCCCAGAATCTGTTCTAAATTATATTTATTAAGTGTTTCAGTTATTATGTCCAACACCTGTGTGTATGTGTGTGTGTGTGTGTGTGTGTGTGTGTGTGTGTGTGTGTGTATGTATATTCGGCATGTGTGTTCGTTACTTCATGGTGCATGTCAAACACAGTCTCAAAGCCTGGGTGCACCATCCTCAAGGTTAACAGTTTTGCTTTGTGACATCGTATAAAGAGATGGTTATCACTATATTTGTTTGATATGGAAATCGTCAGAGAAGATCCCCTGCCAAGTGGGTTTCTGACATAATGACATTAATGCTAGCTGTTGGTTATTAAAATATCGCGGTCCAATAATGTTGTTATACCTAAACAGAGGTTTCCTACAAATGAAAACACCAGTTGATGACAATTATTTCCCCAGCAGATGTACAAACACACTAAGGAGCCATGTGGCTTGGAGATTTTAATTTACTGGCAACAATTACCTGTGACAATTTAATGATTCTTTTAAAAAAGACACAGTGCTCTCTTGCAACAAGCTGTCAAATAACTGGAATTTAATAAAGACACTGCTTTCCTGTTGGTTCTTGAAACGTCCGTATCATGCTCAAAAATTAGTCCAGAAAAAGCGAAACATAAACATGTAATGATTAATTTTTAAATGTGGAATTATCGATTTAAGCTTGCAAAGTGTATAAAGTGCAGAGTTCAAAGGTTTCTATAGTAAAACTGCAAAAGAACATTGAGCCATTCTTCTGTGAGGTAATAATTCACCGACCCACATTTGCATAATGAACCCTTTATTTTTTTTTTTATGTGCTTCTGAATATGATATACTTATGTAGATGTTTTTCAAGCGATTTCATATTTTCTTGAAACCTGGAAATTTGTCATGTGAAAATGAACTGTCCAATTTCATAAATCAGTTGTCACCAGTTTGTTTTATAATAGAATCCACATATGTGGGCCAGAATAGTATATGAAATTCTTAGCAGGGTCATTTTTCAGTACCGCTGTCGCGTTTTATGGTGAAAGTTTGCACATGGTAACGGTTTGGTGGATCATCAGCGCTGAAAGTTGTGGACAATGCAAGATTACTTAATTAGGACAACCCTAATCACAAAGGCAACGTTTGATGGAGAAAGACTCTCGATTCTGGATCGAGTGCAAGTTAGACTCGATAGCTACTGGCAGTTCAGGTTCTGTACCTCCTTTGGGTTTAATTCAGACCTTGCAAGTAGCATGTGAGGTGTACAAGAATGCTGCTAGCATTCCAAGCAGTGGTTCCACATTTTTGTATGACATTTATTACAGATTTATTACAGGTTCCTATGTGGGTTTTATGTTGATTACTTCCGTATACCTGATTGACGTCCTCGTGACTGGCTGTCACCTGCGTTTTACCTGGAGCCCGGTGTCCAGAAGGCGAAACGCCCGGATCCGTGACGGACATGAAGAAGATGGTCTGTAAATGCTTTTCAAGGCTTAAAGGTACATGCCTGAGGTCACATCAGTGCCCCCTGTGCCACGTTGTGGGCAGTGATGCTTCGTAGCACCCATCGCTGCATTTCAGCATGATTAGCGCCCAGCCACGTGCACTGCAGTTTGGCCCCTGTCACATGACGAGTTCCACTTGGTAAGCCAACATAATGTTAATCCCTTAAAAAAAATTACCTTCATGTCTTCAGGCGTACCTTTCTCCAGTTCCCAGGAATCCACGAAGAGAGAAAATCTTGCCTATGAGATGGAAAAATATCCACAGGGAGTTGTATGAATCTGCCTGCTACTGACTTGAAAAGGCATTAAGTTGCATTTGATCTAGATTCTTACTGCAGTAAACATGTTAACTGATTGCTGATGTTAGTCTGGCTGCAGTAATTCCTGTTTAGTCTATCACTGCCTACTGTTTATCTTATTACCTCATTAATATGTAAACTTGGGGTTTGGAGTCTTCAGAATGTAATACTCTTTAGTGTCAAAAGACAACACATTGTGAATTAATAAGGCCCTTTTAGGAAAAATAAATTCAGGGTATATTGACCGAAATAATGCAAGAACGCATGACAGGGTTACATTTTTCGCCATGATTCCCTGCTAGTGCAGTCATGTTATTTCTTTATTTAGGTTCGAGTCAGTTAATAAACAGTCACACAGAAAGCTAAACGTGTGAAACTGTAAGCTGAGTCACCCTGTATGTGAGTCAGATAGTATGTAACTGTAAATCAGTAGATAAATGGTTTTGGTAATGCGCAAACATTTTCCGTTTGCTTCTGTGCACAGAGCTGCTTAACACAAAGATCAGGATGCCATCCTTGGCCTTTTTGGCTGCCGAAGGCATATGGTTGTGTAGCAGTTGTGAAATCATTATATCTGCTGCAGTTTGCCCTGGTTGCCGGTAATGACATCACAGGCACCTATGACATCCCAGGCAGGAAACAGAAATGAAGATGACATGGAAGTGGGATGCTTAGCTGATGCATGATGATTTTTGCGGCTTGTTTGGTCTGTAAATTTATAATAAAACTCTTTTTGTTTAGGTGTGCTGGGTGGCTTGAAACGTCCGTACAGAAACCTGAATGAAAAGTAACGCATGCGAATACAAAGTGAATTATTCGGTTTTCAGTGGATCTTTGAGTTTGATGTCTGATTTCTTCTCCATTTTGCCTTCCCCCACATAAATTCCACAGAGATGGTCTGTGCATCAGATATGCATGGTGAGGAACGCTAAGGGTTCATTTAAACAAACAAACAAAAAAAAACTAAGAACACATAAGAAAAGACATAATTGTCGCATTTGAAAAATTGAGGGTGAAATTACTTCTCTGCATATTCTACTGATTGTTTTGCTGTGGCTCATGACTCATTCACACCTTTTTTTTTAACAATTTTTTTAGAGGAAACATTTTGCATATCTCACAGTGCGGCTCCCTTTCCTTTAATTGGGCTTCGAAGGACCCAGGCATGAAAAAAGAAGCAGAAATTCTGACATCCAGCATACATACGCAATGTTTATTTCCTTAGCAGGGACAAGAAGTTGTGTCTGTCTATTCTCACTTTTTTCTTAACTGACGTGACATCCTCACATTTGACCAATTACGCTGCTGTGATGTTGTTGGATGATGCCTTATCAGTGGGCTCAGACGATTCGCTTGAGATAGTACTTCAGGTGCCCTAAAGCCTCTCCTGGTTGCCTGCACACCTAAATTTTGATGATAAAAAAAAAAAAAATCAGGGTCAGACAAAACCTGGTTATTTTTTCCACTGCATTCTGCTGTTGTCTCATAGCTACTGGTGAAATATGTATGTTGCCAATGGAGTTTTCTTTAGACATGTGCAGGGTAATGCGCCCAGACGGATTCTCACAGTCAAGACAACAACGCCTTTGTTTACATTGTCACACCCCTCAATTCAGATGAGCTCCTTAATGAATCAGCGTCAAGCACAGAAACGCCCTTTTTAAACCAGAGGCTTTCTCTCTGATGCACGTGGAACATGTGTAGTTATTTCCTGACACAGCTAAACCAGATTTAATTCTGTACCCACTGCTGCGAATATGCATCTATAAAATATGTCCCACTTTGTGCCTATTTGCCAAATCTAGTTTTGGTCACGGGTGGCTCCGTAGGTCACCCCGGCTTCACACTTGCCAGTTTGAAGGTACAAATCCCAGCTGACTATGTGTGTCTTTGGAGTTTCTTCTCCCTGAGTTTCTATGTAGGTTTCCTACCACAGTCCAAAAACATGTGGCTTGGTAAATCGGTTTGTCTGCCCTGTGATGGACAGGTTTCCCATCCAGGGAGGTCTGTACCCTTTTCCCTGTGTTTCCCGGAACAGACTCTACGGTCACTGTGACCCTGCACTGGGTCACAGTATGATAGATGGATATTTTTAGTTATAATGACAGAGATGCATGCCTTTGGCACTTTTATTAGACTTAGCTGTTTGCTGTTTTGGGCATTTTGCTGTAAACACGTTATATACTCATGTAGATATCACACTTAGGTCAATTCACAACCTATGTATTTGTACTTTGTGTAACGTCAGATTCTAAAAATCCATGACTTTGTCTGAATATGTAAATCTATAGCTGAATCTGCTGCTTTCTAACCAGCTGTTGCTGTTAAGTCTGGCTGCTGCCGTAATGAGGAGATGCTGAGAAGATGGCCTGGTTGGGCTTCACAAAAGTGTTAAATTAGTAGCTCTTATAAATCAATTGCATGAAGCAACCGGGATGTTTTGTACGCACTTCTGAGATTTCACATTTGTATTGTTTTCATTATTCACATTTTCACTGATACAAAGTGACTCACAGACTCTGTTGAAGTCGAAGAGTTCTGCTGCTATCTGCATAAAGCATGCAACATTTCCCCAACTCACATCCCTACTAGGAGAACAGAATAATAGAGAATGTTTGATGACTGTAGAACACCAAGTGGATGCATGGTTTCGTCTTCAGCTCTTGGGGTCAAAGCAGAGTTCCTGGGGTGGAGAAAGAGGGTCATTCCCAATTCTCCTTGAAATTTGTGAAACGATCAGTCAGAATGCCAGTCGAAATTCAATGCAGCCGCAGTCTTAAGTGTTTTTTTGCAGCACAGAGAGGGAGAGAAGGTTTATATAACAAGCTGGATGAGAGGGCAAAGACCACAGCTGGCAATGAAAAGAACGATGATGGAGCATTTATGTTTGATTTTAGGTAATCGAGCTCTCTGCCGCCCGCTCCCTGACAGCCATCCGTCTAGCTTTTGTTGAGGAGTGAATCCATAGCACTGTTGATGAATAGGGTGCCAGGCATCTCATTCTCATCAGCGATGTAGCACCTATGCTGGCTGCAGATGCACCTGCGTCGAGTCATGCAAATCGGGCAAACAGAAACCTTGCGTAACGGCCGCGCAAAGTGGGCCACCCAAACGTGGAGGGGAGGAGAAACGTTTAGAATAAAAGGAGTGCAACCCAAGGAAGCAGGCTGTTTGAAATGTCGTTGGAGAGGAGAGAAATGTCAAAGTGAAAATGGCAGGAAATGTGTCAGTGGCAAGGAAAAAGCCGTCAGTGGTACTCTAGAGTGGAGAGTAAAAATAGGGCATTGGGCAAGAAAGCCGGAAATCAGTGGACTGTGGCTTGTAGTAGGAATTTCTTCTGGAGGCCAGAGATAAGAGACTTAACTCTCTCCTGTCTGAAATTTCAGCTCTCTGGCTTTTCTGTGTGTGACCCCCCCATGCCTCAAATGGAGGCGACTAATGCAGTTGAGGAAAGCGGTAAACTCCCCAGAAAAGAGGAAAGGGGTTATCTCCCAAAGTACAGGTATTTCATTCCCAGCCAAGCCATGACCAGCTTCTCAGTGGCCTCCTGGATTTTATTTTGATGGAGGACCTGAATGAAGCCTCCAGCGTGGACAATGGGGTCCCCAACACTGAGGCCCGCCTTTGCTCGTGAAGCCGGTAAACATGCAGAAATTGCGACTAAATCTGCAGTGTGCATTTATGTGGCACAAGTGGGATAATAAGCACCATCTTATCCAATAATCCTGTACAAAAGTGGCAGAGGTGGCCTTGGGGGACCAGAAATTGTGTCTCCCACAGCTTCATGAGGCATGAAGTGTATGGAGCGCTGTAAAGAACTGAAATCACAGGAGCTGCAACAAATTACAAACATTTGTGGCTTTCTTAAAATTCTTTCCAAGTAGACCTAATTTCAGGCTATTTGCAGGTTTTTACTTTTCCTTTTTTTAGATTAATTTGCCGATGCGATGAATGAAAAATTGTAAGCTGAATCTGACAAATATTTTCACATGTCATTATCCAGGGCAAGCACTATTGTGGCAAAGCAAGCTAGAGATTTGAAACAGGTTTGAGGTGTATCTGTTTTTAATCGATTTAATGTGGTAAAACTTGAAGCTTACTGGAACTGCACCGGTTCATGTAGAACAAAATTCAGACAGAACCAGAAATGGTTTCAGATCTGGGGACAGTGGCTTTGAAGTGCTTTATTGCTGGATAATGTACCGGTTGGAAAAAGGGATACAAAATATTTTTAGTCGCTATCAACATAACCACATGTCTGTCCTAATCTGCACATGCAGTTTGCTTTTGATTTAAAATCTGACGAAGCCTTTCATCAATCTTCATGACAGAATATGTCTAGGGAATTTTCCAGATGGCAGGAAACCTCAGAAATGTTTAAGCGATGTAATGCATTTTATAATTTGTTTTCTGAGGAAAAAAAAAACTCATACTACAGAGATGATGAATCTTAATGGCTGAAATATTATTTTCTGAAGCCTTGAAGATGGAGCACCATCATTTTCTCTGTAATAACACAAAAGAAGGGAATGGAACTAAACAAACTTTAGAATTACTAGTGCTGCAGCAAAATCCACTTTTGTGCCATTATTGTATAATTATTCTATTAATATTATCATTGTCATCATCAAGGCCATTATGATTATCATTATGTTTTTCTAGGCCTGCAATAAAACCATCTGTAGCCTTTGAGTGACAGATGGAGCTGGGTTTAAATTTCATTTACCGTTGATGCCATGCTCTCGCCGTTACCGATCACAGGGAGGCTGGGTTTTATTACATGGAAGCTCGTAAATGAAAAGATGATGGGGCTGTTTCTGCTGCGTCCGTTTAATCTGCCCCCGTGGCATGCCATTAGCCGGCTAATAAGAACCGGGGGGGGGGGGGGGGGAGGGTGAAGGGGAAGGCCCCACCTCTAACAAACTCTGACACACTCGTTAGTGAGCTCAATGCGCTCCGCCATCGCCGCTACACGCTCGCCATCCTTACACCCCTGTAGTGTAGAACATGACAGTGTCTGACCGCAGTCCTGTGTTCTGTTGATATAGTAACAGGCTATAAATAAATGGCTGAATGAATAAATGAATAAACAAATAGGTGGCACATGGCCATGGGTGGTAGTTCTGGGCTCCGTCGGGATTTCTGCCTTGGCACGGCTTCCCCCCGGGTATTCCGAGGAACCGGTGTCTCTAAATGGCCCTTGCGCCATAGGGCCTCCCTCGCCTCGTATCCAGGCTTTCCGTGAAATGGGCCGGAATAATCAAGACGGGTAATAATAATAATAATGATTTGAGTTTGTTCTCTAATATGCAGCCTAAAAATAAAATTATATCATTTAAATTGGTGCCAATTTGGACATGAGTGTACATATACATTTTTATCATTTAGCACTCAGACTGAAATGTACAGTATCAGTCAAAACACACACACCCATAGAAAGGTTTTTTTTGTACTTACACTGTACTACAATGTAGAAAAGTTATAAAGACATCAAAACTGGCCGAAAAAGTATGAAACTGTGTGTGTGTGTTTGTGTATACACACACACAAACTTTTGACAGATGCTGTATTGATATATTATGAAGGACTTGCAGACAAAGGGGAAATATGCCCTAGAAATAATACTTTTATATGCAAAAACAGCAAGATGTTCACTATTTAATAAACAAACACATCATCAGAATGAATATGACCTGCTGTGGTTCAAACAACACCACTGTGTGTGTGTGTGTGTGTGTGTAATTATTGCTTTTTAAATATTCAAATGAAAAGTTTTGGCAACACAAATATGCATAATTTCATTTATAATATTTGTCAGCAATAACTGTCCACACTAATAATAAATATGTCTAATAACAGTATAGATTTAGCAGAAAGCCAGCTAGCTAAGACACATTATATACATTCCACATTTGGTTGCTAATAGTTTGTTTAAATAGGCTGCAAAAAGCTCATTTACATAACAGAAACCCAAAATATATATATTTTTTTACTGATTATTGGAACAGTAATACTTAGAAAATAAAAAGACTGTTTTAATCTGATGCTGTGTGTTCTTTCTGTCCTTTGATTTCTCTGCTGTTAAAGATTAGTCAGACCCAGATTTGAGTTTTATGTCGGCTCATTTGGTGTCACAAGTATTTTAAGCACCAAAATAAAAAAAAGGAAATTTATTTGTATCAGGAATTCCCCATTTAAAAAATAATGACTGCATTCATACCCCTTGCTCAATCTCAGCGCTGTTTAAGTAGGAAAGAACAAATCCCTTTTTTGTGTGTTAAGGAGAGAACGGAGATCATTATATCATTATAAACATCTGTGGACAAGGTCGTGTAAGAGCTTAACACTTACTGCACCTTTAAAATGGCATATATAGTACTCTGTGGTACAGGAAGCTCAGGCGACATGTTCGTAAAGATAATGTTGGCAGACCTACTGACTTTTTTGTGGGGACTCCCCCTGAGCAAACACCAACGCAAACAGCACGGGGGGAGCTCTGACATCACACGGCAATCTCTGTGCAGCACCTCGCAGAACTAAAGAGCAAAAAAAAAAATTATAGTTAAGGGTCTTTAATAGCACAACAGTAAAGGGGCTGGGATTGCTAATGTCCACCTCTGTTATTTTAGTGGCTGCCTGGACGTAGGGCCTTATCCAGCCTATTTAATTTCTTTTTCAAAATTCCCTTCACCCACAAGTTCATTTGAATTATATCAGCGCTGTGTGAGCTTTCCATTATGCAAATATAATTAAGTCCTCTGCTTAGCCATTTTTTATTAAGTTACAGGTAATGTAAAGCTGTTACATCAATAAGTGTTTATCCATCTGTTTCATAGCTATATTCAGTACAAGGCTGAGGAGAGCCAGGAGACTATAACCAGGGGCTCTGGACATCCTAGTACAGTATGGGCCCCGATTCCACTAAACTGTTTAGAATAAAAAGAAATAGAATAGATTCTTTAGACTGATGCACGGATCCATCGGCAGCGTTTGAACCCCCAACCTTGGTCTGACGAGACTAGTGTTAGCCACCGAGTCACCATTTAGTGATCCAAACTTGAAGTAACACAACTGTCTTCATTCGGGAATCTTACCATCAAGGGACATTGCAACGGAAATCAGAAATGTTACATACTGTTTTGGTGATGCATGACGAAACTTTGGCATAGATTAAATAATGAAATTGGTCACATGTTGAATGAACAATCAGAGTCATCTTCTGACCCATTCCCACTGGCCGTCTGACAGCTTTTCATAAAATGTAAAATTGTTACGTTTCAGCCGGTCACCCTCCGCCCGCCCCCCCATTTTCTGGCAAGGGTTTAAATTTCAGTTTCAGTTTTACTGGCAGATGGAATTGTTTGTGATTGTGTACGAGTGAAAATGTGAATCATTTAACAGCGGTTTAGAGAGAAGCCAGCATGCACTCTCACTGGTTCCCCTCGATATCGTCGAGGAGGACAAGGACGTTCAGCTAGGATGGTGTTATCTCTCTGCTCTCAGTTACATAATCCTTCAGCTCACTGGGAAGGCGGTCAGCTGGCAGATTGTGCAGGCAGTTAACTGAGAGCGTAAGGACTATATTTAGAGGCGATGAATAACTTGACCTAGGAGATGCCTCCAAGGCAAAACTGCTGCACTTCGTGCTCAGATTCTCCATTGGGAGTAAATTGGCGGGAAGAGGAATCCTAGGATAGGACCAGCTTTCCAAGATAAAGTGCGGCTTTCCTGCATGATAATAGCTCAGGACCCAAGAACATGGCGGGCCTGCTACCAGAACATTTCTGAGTGCAGAAGCCAAACGTGATGGAATCTCTGGAAATGTGTGCCGAGCTCTATTAATGAGCGAAATGAAACATGGTGCTTTCCAAGTAAAACGGTTTTTTACAGCAGTTACAGCTACCATGAAACAGGGTGTAATTCAATAAAACTCCAAGGCTGAGAACATATCTCTTCCCATGAAGCACATTTCGTTTAGCTACAACGCGTAATTGTCAGGTGCACTAGTATGAAAGCAATTACTTGTCACTTTCCTAATTTAACACTGGCGGAAGCTGATTTAAAGGTACGGAGCCACGCAAAATTGCGTCGTTGAACGGCTTCGCTTTCAAAAACGGAAGCTGAAGCTGCCCCAGTTTTGACAGCGGCGCAGTGGGGTGCAGGGCCCGTAAGCTGTGCCAGTGTTCACAGCCAGACAGCCCAGGACCATTGAGGAAGACCCCGGGGAACCGAGGAATGGCGGCCTTTGTTTACACACTTCTTGTAATCTCAGCTTGCGTTGACGTCTGACTCATCGGCGATCGGTCTCCACAGTGCCGCGCAATATGAGGCATCCACCTCCGTAACTCCATGGTACACGGCAGCAGTCGCAGCGTGGCGGCGCCCTTTAAACTTACGACCGCAACAGCCGCAGCTGCACAGCAAACACTTCAGCCGCGGCCACCGTTGCGTTTATTAACGCGCCTGGTCTCGCGCGCTTTGCGCGTCGCCGTCACTGTGCTAATGATCACTGATGCCTGCGTGGTGGATGGGAAGAAGAAAAAAAACAAGAAAACGTGACTTGTAAGCTGCTAGCTTAGCATGTGCTGAAAGTTCTGACTGTGACAGTGCGTACAAATTCGCGTCATTTTACCCCCGACACTTGCTGTGACAAACTGTGAGAAATTTCTGCAAGTGTGACATCGGATTGTTTATCACCGTCCACAAGCGCAATGTGCAGAATGGAGTAAACCACACTGTACATAGTTTACATGCTGATTAAAAAATAACACAGTTTAACAAACATTTAAGCACATGTGGCTCTCATTAAGTCATTAATAATAATGGCAGCGGGGCTGAGTGGAGAAAACACTGAGATGTTTGTTTGGCTATCGCTCACAGCCTATCTGCAGTAAAATAAATATATTTTGCCCAGTAAAGCACTTACCGTTGATATTCTGAAGCCGAAGGATACTGTAGCGAAAAAAGCATTGCCTGCCGTTATTTACGTTATTTACATTTTTTCCTAAAAAAAAACTTAATGTATGTTAATAGTACAATGGACTGAAATGGTGTTGCAGGCGAAGGGGTTTCGCTGCTGACTTTATTAACTTCTGTAAAATTCAGCCTGTTCTGCTCAATATCTAGGGGTACTGATCATTTTTCATTATCATATTGTAGACGTGGAAAGATCTAGCTATGTAGAATGAGCTTTCAGAATTCATTTCTGTTTTTACATCATTTTACATTTACATCAGTTAATCAACCTCGAGATTACGGAAGAAAGTCCTAATATACAGTGATTCTTCGACATGACAACATTCTTTGCAAATAATTAGAAACAGGTTATACAAGGCTTTCTGAATGTTCTACTTCAAACATCGGGTCCCATAACCTTTCTGTAATCCATCTAAAATCTATCCAAAAATGCATAAAAAACTGCCTGACAAATATCTAAGTCCATTTTCAGAGTCCTATCTGATCAACATACTTCCATTTTTTTTGTTTATAGATTTGTCCTATACAGTGACTGTTTAAGTGATTTTTTTTTCCAAAAGCAAAATTACCTATTACCTATTTGTAAGTGACTGTTCCCTGTGTCCCTGACCAATGCACAGTAGTACTTCCAAATCATCTGCTTATATACTTTCTCAAAGAGTTAGCATCAATTTATTAATATTAGTAAGTATTGCAAGCCAGTGTTTCGAATTGCCCTGAAAATATTTCACGGCTTGTTTAAAACGGTAATAATCTATCTCTGAGAAATAATGTTATTCTGAGTACCATTCACACAGTATTGATCAGTGCCACCAGCAGGGGCAGTCCGGGAATGTGAGATTAACTATTCTGATTTGGTTTACCTCTCTCTCCTTCTCAGTGATGATAAATGCGTACTGTATGTTAATAATAATAATAATAATAACACAGGTCTACAAAAAAAAAACAGGGGCCAAGGTTTTTTGAATGGATTTAGGGTATTTTGAGGGTGCTGAATTAAAAAATCACATTACTTTTGCTGAATTGGTTCTAGTTTTTAAGATAATGGACATCCATGAAAATAATACATTCCCCCAATGTGACTTGTGTGTAACAACAAATGCAATAGCTTTTGGTCTGTCTTTTGACTCTTTAACAGTGTCTTATGTAATGAAATGAATGATGAAGCGTTGAAGGAGAGTCTGAAAATAAAATTAGAGTTAAGTTCACATGTGCGTGTTTGCATGTTCATTTATTGCTGTTGTTACTGTGGTGGTGAATATTTACCCAGATCAAATCTGCCAAGTCCTTCCGAAAGAAGGGCATCATGGGAACACGTGTCTGGTATTTTGCCAGAAATGGTTGAAATACTTGTGATAGGGCCATGAAAAAATGTAGTTTAGCCAGAAGAAGGGGATCCATTCGGGCTTCACAAATGCAGTCAAAAGAAAATGTCCCTTGGTTTTTCACCTATTTTGACTTCAACAGGTACACATATTTCGCAATAAAGGGCCAGACTTCCAATGCTCGTTTGACAGCTGGCAAATTTACAAGCCACCGATGGCCACAGAAAGGTAGAGGGAATCTTGAGGATGGTGTTGCAGCTGTGAAGTCCTCTCTTCTGGCTGGTGAGGAGTGGAAAAGAAAATGTAGTGCTTTGAGCACTTTCTCCACCATCCACACTTCAAAACCAGTCTTGAATGAGCTGTGAAGGGTATGTAGGCCACAACTTCCTACAATTACTAACTGTGTCCCAGCAAAATGCTCACCACAGTGTGAATGTCATCATTGGATGTATAGGAGTGATTTCGGCTAACTGTTTGCAAAGCCCATAGCACTTCTGCTTTCAGTGTGTCGGTTGAGGAGAATGTACTAAAGGCATTGCTTGTCGTGGGATCCAGAGACACTACCAAAGCGGGTGTAGGCCTATCTGTAGAGGTTGTACTTGCAGGACTGGCAAACAACTGGATGGAGAGAGTTGTTGTCCGACTGTCGACAAAACGCTTGTGCTTCTCTCCCCTGATATGTGAGTCGATGCCTTTAGAGCCCATTGTTGCCAGTTTGATGACTTTTCTACAAAGGTCACATCGCGCTTCGTAGACATTAGTCGTCTTTTTCAACCAGCCACGTTACTTTTTTTTTTGAAGCATTAACATTACTAACAATTAATAACTAATTAATATTGTATTAATTAATCAAATCATACATAACTTTTTCCTGTCACTGTTAGGTATTTTTAATTTCTTTTTTGTATGATGTTAGACTGTTTACTTACTAGTTGTAACTAAAATAAAAATATTCTTGCAATTCTTAATATTTTTCAAACATGTTGTGTTAATTACTTAATTAATTAACTATTAAATATTTCAGAAACTAGAGCCAATCTGGCAAAACCAAAGTCATATTCTTAATCAGCACCATAAACTTAATATCAAACCGTTCAGACATCGTTGGCACCGAAATCACTATATACCAGTGTAATTATTATTATATTTAGATATATTGAAATATAGTGAGTTGTGTTTTGTTTTTCCCATAGCAACACAGCCTTACCTCCTGGCACCAGCAGAGACCTGTAATAGGACACTGCCTGTTGACTTTTTCCTTTTTGTCTGGTTCCTGTTTTACTCAGTATTCGGTTTTTCTTTCCAGTCGCTGCCAAAATGGTGGCTGTATTATTTTTCCCGCGTTTCCCTGCCGGATCGTGCCGGTCTCGCCCCTACCCGATCCTCATTATTCCTGAAAGGAACATCATCTTCCACAAGAAAATGCTCTATTCGCTTCCCCCAGTTCCCATTTGCTGCTTCACATAAATGAATGTCAAGAGATCAAGAATTATTTATACAAATGTACAGCTGTTAGAGGTCAGTTACTCACTGGCTCTTCACATAAACAGCGAAATAGCATCGTGTTTTCTTTATGTCTAGCTGATGTAGCTAAGCTAACCGACGTGCTATGTATCTGAAATAGCCACATGGTTGTTAAATCATGCGGTAAGTAATAAACGCTTGCCGAATGGAGCTTCTGTCTGTCCCCTTCACCCTGTCCTTCACCGAGAGCTTGAGTGCTCTTTCTCTTGAACATGGAGCTCAATGTCTCCGAGGCTCCGTGTGTTAAAGTGCAAACTGGAAAAATTGCTTGTCTTGTGCATCGGCTGCTGAGTGCAAGTTTCCACATTCTGGTGGAGACCTCTCCTTTCCACAGGTATCCCATGATAGTCCTCCGCTTGTCTGGCTTTTTGCACACAAAGGTGCAGCTCTGCAGCCCCAAAATGTGTTTGATAAGGCTTGTTCGTAGTGGCTCAAACTCGTAGGAAACTTCATTGAGCTTTCCAAAAGAACAAAGGATGTCAACTATTAAATATAAACCTTTTGAATTCATAAAGGGAAACATTTATGCAGAGTGCAACAAAAAATAACTATGAAATTCATATTTGCATTAGGCCTAGGATATTTTGTTTTGCTGAAACCGTGAATTCCGAGTTTGCCTCCATACAATGCACACACGCATAGAATCTGGAACCTTCCCCGGTGCAGGATCTAGAAAGCTTTAATAAATATTTCCTTTGTTGGCTCCATTGTCAGACTCTCTAACAATCCGCCATCAGTTGCTGATGTCAGGAGGATTGGCGGAGCTGAGTGTATCCAACTGACATCATATGTTAGCGGCTGACACTGCATAACAATGCAGCTCCACTCAGGAAAAAGGAATATGAAACGCATGCAAATAAACACGTCACTCCAAGGTTGTGTTTCACGTCCAATCGGACCTGCACAGGCACACCCTAACATGCATTCATACTGCATACTTACTCTACATGAAACCAGACAGTTTAAAATCCAAATGCTGCACATCCTAGTACAATTAACAAATTATTCAGTATTGTTCATGCATAACGATAAGCAGCTAGTCATAGTGACTTCGGTGTAAAAAAAAAAGCAGCATTAAGATTTGCTGCAAATCTAATATCCCTTTTTCTTAACAGTACACATTTATCATTGATAATAAGTTTCTAAGTCTCTTTTTTGGTCTAATAATGTTTCTCTCCACAAAAATAACAGATGGTAAAAATGCTCTCAGCAGTAACAGATTGTGCGCCGCGATTTTAATATGTGTGCAAATCCAGTCTCTCCCTTTTCTTATGTCCCTGTGTGTCTGTAAAACATGCACCAGTCCCAAATATCAGCATTTGTTTGTTTGTTTTTTTTCCGTTCCCAATACGAATCCAGTTTGACTATCTTTGCAGTGAACTGAAGCATAGAACCGGTACCTGAGTCTCCAAAGTGCATATCCTGTTAGTGGTGGCAAGAACGTTGGAACAATTTACATAAGATGAAATCTTAAATTGTTTGGAAGATGGACAACACTTGTGGGTTTTTGTAATGTTTATTATATTTTTATATTATTATATAAAAGTATATTATATTGTAGCTGCCAAAAAAATGCTGTTTAAAAAAGAAATTCTAAACTTTTATTAAAAATAATGTCCTTCCAGATTAAGTGAATCTCTGTGCTGTGGAGTGAACAAATGTAGCAGTCAATAATAACATAGAAGTCAGTAATTAAGTCATTATGAACACATCAAAATGCTATGCTCTTTACAGATTAAATCTAACATCTTTTCATCTTCTTCATAATTAACATTATTGAAATGCATATAAAACAAGCTAATGCATATACTGTCATATACCCCCCCACCCCCTCCATTCTCCCAGTGGGCTGTGAAATGTTGTTTGAGGACCTCTCATCCTTAGAAGTTCTCTGCGCCAACCCATTAGCAGCAAGGTGAAAGAGCATCTGTTTGTTATGATGTCTCTAAGCACTTCTGTGTGGGTTTGGTAAAAACGAGAACAAGGAGCCATGGTCCCCGCAATATCACTGCGGTGGAATAATGCAGTTGCATTAACCATGCGGCACAGGGGTGGTAATGGGTTTGTGTGCCTAAGATTCAGTCATTTTCTCACCTCTGTCAAGATTTTATGCCTGTACTCCGCTCACCCCAATTTTGAGCTGAGT